TAGTTTGAGGAATGTGGAAAGAGTGAAGGAATAATGCTGAGTGAGGTTTCTCCTTTCATGTTTCCAATTTTTCAGGCTGGTCCAAGGGTGTGTCCAGGGAAGGAAATGGCCTTCATTCAGATGAAGTATGTGGTGGCTTCAGTTCTTTGCAGATTCACATTTAGAATTGTTAGTCCTCAGAGGCCTATATTCGTGCCACTGCTCACGGCACACATGGCCGGCGGCTTGAGAGTATTGGTTTGTAAAAGGGAAAAGGTATAAAACTGAGTTAGATTGACTCAGATTTTTAAATTCCTTTGAGTCAATCGCACTTATTAGATATTTTAAGGCACTCTATTTTGTATTGAGAGGTAATTGAACAAGGGAAAATAGTTGCTACATTCCACACCAAATGGCTCTTTAAAGCAAATTAAGTTTAGCTTTGTTTCATGTTCTCAAAAATTGTATAGAAAAGACCGAAAGAAATTATAAAATCCTATTTCTACCATTGCCAGTTGAATATGCAAAAATAAGAAGCAAAGAGATGTTTTATGAGTATTTATTTATAAAATTAAAAATATTTTCTCAAATCAATCTTATCAAATTACACACAACGTTAAATAGTAAGTAAAGGGTCAATTCAATGTTTCATTATTGATTCTCATTTGTGTTAACCATTAAAATAATGTTTAGTTATCAGAAATCATACTCCACAAATGCAGATTAATCATTGATTATCAATTTTAGAGACACTTTGTGTATCATGTTTATGAACAAAAAAAAATATAATATATAAGTACCACTTTTTGTTTCTTGGTAAAGCGAATAATTGGTTGTAAAAGAAATGTCTAGTAACATTATCTTATTAATATTCTCTTCATTGTAGGTTGAAAATTTTTAGTAAGTCATATTACTAAATGAATGGAGACAAATTTTTTTAATTTTAACTAATAATATATATAGAGAACATTAGAAAAGAGTATCATTAGGATTCCTTATTGATTAATTCTAACAATGAAGTTTTGTTTTGCACACGTGTTCAACAGCCTAAACTTTGTCATTTTACATGTTCACCGTCATCAATGTGAACACAATTCCTGCAAAACGTGCTTTGTTTTCATTTAACCTATTCTCTTTGAAATCTGGTCAGAATAATGCACATGCTTAGACCAATTGATTATTATTTCATATGCGATTGTCTACGTAAGGCACAACGTATGCTGATTTAAATATTTTATCTTGTTACCGTATGAAGAGCTTAAAGCACTCATTTAATTTTCTTGAGCACATTGCTTGATGTATACAATACATAGGAAGAGAATCTAATTGATATTATTGTTGGCCATTAACTCTTAGAATGAATTGTTTATATGCATGCTTTGTCCCCATAAAATGGTAAGACGAACCTCTACAAAGGTAGGTTCCAAATTGCTTGGATGCAAGTTCAGCCGAGGAAACATCTTTAAATGAAATTAATTTCATGTCTGGATTATACATAAGGCTTGGTGCATACCTGAAGAGAAAGTGACAGCATAGCCTCCATTTTCAATTCCTAGATTCTATACCTTATTTTAAAGCCTCTTTTAAGCGACAAAAGAAGCATCCTTCACCAAGTATTTTCGTGTCAGATTCTTAAAAAACCTTATAAAGAAAATTACCAAGTAAATCATTAAAATAAATTAAGGAAGGGTTATTTCAATCAACAATCCAAATAACATGGGGAAAATTTTAATACCTTCCGCTAAGATGCAAATGATGTCTATTTCCTCCTCTGATACCTTGAATACTACTTCTAGGATGTTACCTAGTATCCTAGCTCTTGTCTCTCTATGGCCCTATATATACAAAAAAGTTAGCCACATGGTACTGCTGAAAGAGTATGTAGAAAGAAAAAATAGGAATCATAATCGGTACCTGAGGTGTCTTCTAGCTAGTCTCCTAGCTGCTTCATCAAGTATTCAGGTATTATTTGTAACCCCTGTATATAAAATTTACCTAGATTGTATATAGGTGCTTTTAGTTTCTAGTTTGTTTATCCCTCCGTGTTAGGAGGTCCTGTTAATCGAAAAAAACACAAGTTTATGTGAAAGAGGCTTACTACCCTCAAGTTAAAAACACCAAAGAAACTATTATTGGCTGCAAAAGCTCACGTACTTACATAAAAAATACAGCAGCAAATCAACTAATTTATCAAACCTAGAGACCTAAAATAAGAAGTCATGTTCATTTTATGAAACTTTTGTTCCATGTCACATTATAATTCATTCTAGGACAAAACTTAGTTATAGTATCTAGTTGTTGATATTTTTCCTCGATCAGAATTAAAATTTTACTTTAATAATATACATGTATATTTAAAGCAAATTTCGATAATATATCTTTAGGTATATTATTGAGATGGAATTCAAATTTTGATAAAAGAATAATATCAATAACACCTATGATATTAATATTATATTTAAATTTTGTCTTTCATAGTAGTTTCTCTTTGAGTTTTAAGCCTAAATCGATCCCTAAAACTAATCTATGTAAGATTTCTAACACATTTCCTTCACATAAAGTTTGCATAATTAATTATGTGCGACCGGTTCAATAACAACTATATATCAGTAGCCCAATAGACCCAAAAACAATAACTACAATTAATAAGCTTTCATACCATTTCAGAATTTGAGCTTAAAATTCAATTCAACCCCAAAAATTATCTTGTGAGATGAAAGTTAGTTTCCTCTTATTTGCACTATTTTTTTGCCATATCACTAATAATATGGAACCTCCAACAGACTAAATGGCAACCCAATATACTTCCTCATTTGTAGGACATCAGCTCAAGCTCCCCTTTGCACAATACAAAAACAATTATAGGAAACACGATTACCTGGCTAGATATAAATATACTAAAAGGACTTGGGCAATTAGGTACTAGGAAGTGTAACAAGGACCACTCTATGGCTACATATTTTGAGCTTCAGTGTACAGTAACATGCTGGTATCATGCTCATATGAATTTCAACTTGCAAGGATGAAACCGGCGTGTTTTTCCTGTTTTTCTTTCAGGGGACAATAGTCCTTTAACTATGGCCATGTATGTATTAGCTACCCAAGGTTTTAAAATAAGGTATGTGCCATAATTTCTACCGCAACATCGAGACTTTTAGATCTCTATAACTGCAACAAGACTACAAATGTTGCATTAGTTGCATTTGTCTGCAATTTTTCACAAACGAAATGACGACTATGATCTTTTTGGAGTATCTCAGACATCAATGCAGCATAAACCAATCCGGTGATACGAGACCCAAAGCTCGTTAAGCCCATACTGACTTCAACAATTTTATTTTTGGTTTGCTTTAAGGATACTTTTGACCCCTTGTGAATATGTTTAACAAAGTTATCTATCAACTATACTAGACCTTGTTGGTAACCATCATTAATAATTAACTAAGCACAATTTGGTCGCACCAACATGTAAGGTGCCTTTCCTTTCCTAGACTTGGATCTTTCCACGTGACATGAAATTTCTTCAGTCTTTCAATAAAAATGGGAAAAGAAAAATTTAAATAATAAAAGTAGAAGGTACGAGGTTTTGATAAAATACATGTGGGAATCTCACATGAAAGAATCCTATCCTTTCCTTTCCCTGCTATGTATATACCTTTTCCTTTTATTTTGCACGAAAACCAGAGTTTGTAATCGTGCCATTAGGCAAAAGATAGAACTTTACAATTACCAGTGGATCAAATAGAAGCAGAACATTCCAAAGGGTAGTAGAGGCAATATGATCATTTCAGTGACTCATTTCTTGGCATGCTCTCCAATAACGCTAGTGTCGTTCAATAATGGGCAGAGTATAATGAGCTTCACAGACACGCAAATTGCCTATTAAGAGAACAAAGAAATACAAATGTCATCCCACTGGACCTCTCTCCCAGTTCCCAAATCAAGTTTTCCAAAAATTGCTAGGAAGTGAATGCATAATAAGACTTTGAACAGAGAAAATTAAAGTAGGAAAAGTGAAAAAGACTGATAGGAAACGATACCGAAGTGAATGGGGGATGAGGGGTTGAACTTGAATGGAAGCTGCCTGGCGAATGTGATAAATGAAAAGAAGAGAATTAAAATTAAGCGGAGGAGGACATGTATACCAGTTTATGTATCTTTGTCTTTGCCTCAGGGACATTATTCTCTCACTTCCTTTTTACTTTACATAAAGATCCCACCCCACGTGCTATTGGACATTTTAGGCCCAAAACTAGAGAAAAGAACACTAGTCACGGCTTGTATATTCCTACCAATGTTATGATAGCGAAATATAAAATACCTGAATTTTAATATAAAACCAATGTGGATTTAAAGTTTTCTATTTGTCTTTGCGTTTCAATATAACAATCCATTGAAACAATTTTACTAATGTCAAAACTATTATTTTCTACACAAATAGATTCGGTCATCACAAAGACCATTTCATTTGACTACATGCACTTTAGGAAGAATAGTTTAAATATAAAAAGCTGACAAGAGAGACGTGCGAGTATCATAAGTGTAAATAGTTAAATATTTTTTAGTGGTATCAAACTCAGCAAAATATAAATGAACGAACAGTCATGGCACCCAAGGTCTCTTTTCTCCATTTAGACAACTTAAGTCTGAAATTACTGTACACCAATCCTAACTATTACATATATTGCTTGCACTTTACTAACATATGAACTGCAAGGCAAGTTGCAGCACTGAAACTACTAATAAATAACAACTATTAACACAAACTATCAGAGCTTCCATGAGCATGGAAGTCTAGCTACATCTGAAATTCCCATTATAAACTTAAAACTCCATGCATCATGTGCTCCCTGGAACATTGCTTCCAACGGCTGGTTTGCGATTCAAAAAGCGAACAATGGCATCATCAACCCTGTTCAAGTTGTCAAACAGAGCATAAGTATATCATTTAACAGTCAAGGTAACTGGCTACGCTTATACAATAGAAAAAAGAAAGTGAACCTTTCTCAAGTCCAATTTCACCAGGCACGTGAGCAAAATGAAAAGGCATATCATGCTCTTTACAGTGATTTGAATTGAATCAAAAACATCATATTCATATTACAAGGTGAAGGGACGCGCATGCATAAATTAGTTTGTAGAAATTCTATCATATCAGCTTCTCTAAAATCTTATTATTTAACTTGTACATAAATTAGTTTTAACTTATGAAAAAACTTATTTCATTTTACTTTCCCAATTGTTGCCTTCTAAAAGTGCTTTCAGATCAATTTATCCAAACATACTCTAAGGTCGTGATCACCCATAACGAACTGGTGGCATGTTTTCAACTAACAAGTGTGCATAAGAAACAAGCAAGAAATTAAACAAACAAATTGACAATGCAATGCAAGAGATAGCCCTTAAGCTTACTCACCAAGGTTGCTTAAAGAAATCTGATTTTCTCTCTTTATCAGCATTGTGGCCAGAACCAGATTCTCCAACCAAAATTTTCATATCCTTGTTTTGAGATTCCACCAAGGCCTTAATGAACTCCAGAGGAGATTGACTAAACCCAACAAAGAACGCTCGCCTCCTTCGGTGCTCATGTATCTTCCTAATGATTCCACATATGGATTCATCACAAGCATCAACCTCTCTGTTCTTGTCCACATTAGCCACCAAAGCAGACAACTCCCTCTGAATGGGAAAAGGAACATCAACCATAACATCATAGCAAGCAGATCCAACAGGGCTACTCCCAGAGAGCACGATCTTATGCTCCAAAAGTATAACCTGAGGAGGGAACAAATGGTGCGAAATCTTCTGCGAAACCATGGAAAACTTAACCTTATCCTCCCCAAACACATTCTGAAGAGGCTGATCACAGTGAAAGAACGAAGGATCACTCTGGTTCTGCAGTTTCCTGGCCTTCACATAATGCCATATCGCGGAAACAATCCTGGCCCGCGTGTCCACCTGAACCCCAAGCACCTCGCGCAGCGCCGGCGAGAGCATGAACTTCTCCGGCGAGTAATTCATCTCGAGGCGAATCTGCGCGGAGAATTCTTGGTCCCCCTTTCTCTTCACTTCGAAACCCTCGTGGGTGGCGGAGGAGCGCGAATTCTCCCACGTGATGATGTTGCTATCGGGATAAAGCCTCTTGTCGAGGGAAATCGTCACTCTCTTGAAGAAAGCAGAGAATTTGGGGTACGGCGAAGGCCTCTGGAAGAACCCTGGGTGGTCGGGGTCTTCGCCGTCGTCCAAAACCCTTCCGATGATCTTGAGCGTCCACGTGGGGGGCTCGGAGCGGTTCTGGTTGGAGAAGGTGTTGAAGACGAAGATCCTTAGGGTTTTCTGGACGCAGAGTGGGTTCTTGAGGGCTTCGTGGATGTCCACTTTTTTTCTGGCGAGGGCGGCGTCCAAACGGGCTTCCAGGTCGAGAAGCTGCGTGTACAACGCGGATTCAGGGAGAATCGCCGAGGCTTTCTCCGGAAGGTGTTTCTCGTTGGGCTTGGGCCGCTTTCGCCGGGCTGTGGGGAGGAGTTCCACTGGCTTGAACGGGGCGGGGGGTTTGGGAGGGAAGCGTTTGGCGGTTGGGTTGAAAGTGAGCCCGTGGGCTTGCAGCTGAGCCTGGAACTGGGCTTGGACGATGGCGTGGGCCTGGGAGATGGGGTACTGGGCCGGCGCCATCTGGGACTGGGAGTGTGGGTATCCGGTGGGGAAGGAGGAGGAGGAGGGGTTGGTGTTGTTGTTGTTGTTGTTGTTCATGGATTTAAACTTTGTTATTACTCAAGTGCTAAATTTGATTATTGTAAGAAAAGAGATTGGGCTTCCAGGTTCTGGCAGGTGGTGCCTAGGGTTAGGGAAATCGCGCGACCGGAAGTCAAGAACAGTCGCTTGTGTACACTGTTCAGGAAGACTTCTTCACGTTTGCGTATCCCTCATTTTCTCTCTTTCGCGTTTTGTTTATTGGAAAGTGCAAATATGGCTTTCCCAACAGTAACGCACGCACGCACGCACTATAATGTGTTACTCTTAAATTTTTTATTTTATTTTTAAGTTTATGTAATTTTTACTTAATATCTCTTTTAGTATTTATAATTTATAATTTAAAATGTATTACTATCACATAAGTTTAATAACCGAATTCACACGTAAACCATATTATAAACTATATATGTTCAAGGATACTCTAGTAATTTTTTCGTAATTTCGAACGAGTTTCAAGTTGAGATTCAAAGAGGAAAGACCCCTACAAAAGATATTTTGACGCTCAAGCTAACACAAACATGAATCTCGATAGTAATAAATAAACAGTAACTTCACTTCGAGATACGAATTATTTATATTAGTATTAATGGGCTCAAAGTTCTTGATGAACACTACGTTAGGGTTGTCAATTAGGTAATACGACGATAATTGACTTAGTACTCGTAATTAATCCTTAATCACTATTTAGTGCTGGCTAACAACCATCCCAAAAGATTATCCATATCTTTTAATCATTTCGACCACCGAGCGATCTTCGGCTGTTGAAGGTGTCAAACAAACTTTGGTAGTTGAAGGTGTCGAATGGCTCTCGAGAGTTAACTAAACGACATAGTGCATATCTCGACTGCTAAAGATACCAAGCTACAGATTGTGGTTGTCGAAGGTAAGGGTGCTAAACGGCCTTCAGTGGTCAAGGGTGCTGAGAAATCTTAAATCATCTAAGTATTAGTGGCCGAAACACCTACCCAGTACATAAACATATAAACAGAAAGATAAAATCAATAAAAATATTAACTCAAAAAATATATTAACTATTTATTATTTATCTATTTTATAGTTAAAAATATTATTATGTTAAAAATAAGAATAAAGTATAAATAAATAAATAAATAAAATATAAATTATAATTAAAAAAATTGAATAAATTAAATTATCTTTCTAATGGGAGTCATCTCCTCATATATTAAAATATATAATTTAATGAAATATAAAATTAATCATTAATTTCGCATATCATTAATAATCATCACAAGTTTATAATTAAAACTGGTATATACATTATTCATGAGTTTTACAAAATGTCCTATAAATTATGTTATAAAAAAAATTAAAAAAATGAATTATGTTGTTAACCGATAATCATATATCTTTATAATAATGGAAGTTAACAATAAGATTTTGCTTTCAAATTAATACAAAGTAAAATGAAAGAAAATTTATTGGTGAGTATATATCAAAGATTAAGTTACTAATCACTTATATAATGTTCATAAGTTTCTTTCATTTACAAAGATTAAAATAAATAGTATTTAATTTTACAATAATTATAATAAAATCATTATAAAAAAAACTAATAAAGTTATTTGATTACAAGTGTAATTTTTTTTTACATAAAGTGTACTCTTTTATAACTTTTAAAACAGTAACAACAAATTATAAAACGAAAAGACTCTTAAAAATAAATAAATGATAAAAATGTTATATTGATAAAAAAAATTTAAAATTCACATCGATTAGATTAGAAATAGAATATAAATAAATAGTATATAAATAAGAAAAAAACTCCTACGATACAAAATAGTTTCGTAAGATTGAATTAAACTCATAACTTACTATTCTAAGATAGTATTAGAATTATTTTAAATCAACTCTAAAAAGGTCTCTTATCATTGATATATGTACCAAGCATCTGTTCGACGCAAGAGGATATATTGTAAAATATTCAAGTCTCGTTTATCATAAATCATTAAAAAAGATCACCCATCATTTTATCTATTATTGTAATTCTCATAGTTAAAAATAATATAAATTATAGTTTAATACCAACAATCAATTAAAATATAAAATGACATATTTTAATTTTTTTAGTTGATTATCTGCTGAAAGATTTTGCATTTTTAAATTTTTTGTAATTAATAATCTAAATATTTTAATTAATGGATAAAAAATGTTTTTTTTTTTTTTTTGGATAAAAAATGTTAATTATGAATTATTTTATATATAGAATTTATAAAATATAAGTGAATCATAATTAAATATTTCAAAAGCCAATTTTTTTTAAATTTTATATATTATAAATTTTGAATGCCTGCATATTTTATTGTATTGTTCTACATTTTCATTATCAATAAACTAAAATTTAAATACTTTTAAAATATAATTGTTATATTTTATATGTAATTGTAAATATATCACTTTTAATCTAATTTGTTAGCACGTTGGTTAGATATCATGCATTCACATGTTATGAAAACGATGTATTTAGTTAAAAAATTTCTGTTCAACCCGTCTTTTGTGAAAAATCTTTTAAATCAATAATAAGCACAGTATCGCGAGAATGATTTCTCTAACCTAAGGAGTTGGACATATATATCTAGAACAATAACAAACAATTAATTTTGAGTAAACATCAATTTGATCCCGAAAAGATGGCATTTGAGTTCCTAAACTTTAATTTTATTATATAAGTTAGTCATTTTATTATACTCAGTTATTTAATATATTAGTCTCATGATCGGTTAATATTTAATTGTCACATTAACACGTATTCTCTCTCCTAGTTAACATAGGATCATTATCACTAAGCTCTTCCCCACTTTTATTGGAAGAATTTTGTGATTCATTAAATATAACAAAAACATCTATTTGATTGACACATCATTGTTTGAGATTTTTTAGAACAACTATTTCTTTTGCTAAACCCTAAACCCAAAAATTCAACAATTTAAGGTTTACAATCCTAAATTTATAGTTACAACAGACAAAGAAATTAAGATGATTGAAACCAAAAAAAAATAACTATAGAAACCTTACAAAACTCAACAAAAACTTTTCATTTTAACCATAACACTCATGACAAAGTAATTGTTGTTAATTAGAAAGTAACAAAATATTGAATCAAAAATTGATTTTTTTACATATTATAATAAAATTCTTTAAAATAATTAAATATGGGAACGAGGACGGGTACGGGGCGGGTAAGTACATACTCGTACCCGTACCCGTAGCTGATTTAATATATCGAGTTTTACTCGTACCCGTATCCGGTCAAACCGGGTATTGTCCGTCAAAGTCGGGACGGGTTCAGATATTACCCATGGTACGGGTATATTTGTCATCCCTAGTTGAGAGTAAATCTAAGATTGATCTTAAATAAAATTAAGAAATAAAAAATAAGAGTAAAAGAGAATTTTAAGAAAGTTTATTATTAAAGAAAATTTCAAAATTAAGGGTTCCTTCAATAAGTTCTTATCTATTCAAATGTTTTACCCAATATTTATCTATTTTTTTTAAGGGTAAATTAACCTGAAGTATGTTTTGTTACATCTAGGATGTGAAGGTGTACTTAATTGAATGAACTTCTACTCTTGTGATAGTTATGTTCAACTAAACTCCTTAAGATCTATATTAGTTTAGTTGACGCCCGAAAGATTAAATTCACTCTTATATTTTAAGGCTTAAGTCTAATTCTTTAAGTTCTAATATTTAGATTCACTTCTCAATACCTTCCTAATTATCTAAAATTATGAAAAACAATAATTAATTTCTTTGTATATGTAAATTTTAAAGAATTTAGATCAATAGGAGAGAAAGAATAAACAACTAAATAATTTATAAAAACTTCAAGGTCTTGACAGGTTACGCCTCGATTCTAGATAAAGGAAGGCTACTCACACATTTCGTAGTAAAAAAGAAAGAAAAACATTAAAAAAAAAGCACTTAAGAAGCATATATAGCAACTCCCAACATGAATTCCCCGTCTTCAATCTATCTATGAAAAATGTAAAGTAAAAGTGAAATTTACTATATTTAATAACTTATATTTTATATCAAATTCTAACAATCCATCCATTTTATTAAAAGTTATTATTATATATATCAAATCTGTAAATTATAAAAAAAAATTGTAAACTATTTTGATATTTCATTATATAAATTCAAACCAATGTATAAAATATTTTTATGATTAACTATCAATTTGAATTAATGAGACAAAATATCAAATAATATTTTTAATTTTTTAAAATATTTGTAAATTTGATCTATGCATTAAGAAAATTTAATTTAACGGTTTGATCGTTAAAATTTGATATAAAACATGAGTTATTGAGTGAAATAAGTTTAGGTAGAGAGAGAGAGTAAGTCTACCTAAACTTACTTCACTCAATAACTCATGTTTTACATCAAATTTTATATATTGATTTAAATTAATGAAGCATAATATTAAATAATTTTTATTTTTTTAAAAAAAATTGTATGCTTAACCTATCTATTAAGAACTTTTAATTCAATGATTGAATCATTGAAATTTGATGTAGAATATAAGTTATTGAGTTGAGTAAGTTTAGGGATTCACTTACTTCAACAGTAAATCTATTTAAACTTACTAAACTCAATAACTCATATTCTACATCAAATTTCAATGATTCAATTATTGAATTAAATTTTTTTTATGTATAAATCAAGTCCGCAAATTTTTAAAAATTTTGAAACAGTTTGATACTTCATTATATAAATTCAAATCAATATATAAAATTCTTATATGATTATCCCTAAATTTGAATTTTTTTAAACTTTTGTAAACTTGATCTATACATTAAAAACTTTTAATTCAACGGTTGAATCATTAAAATTTAATTTAAAATATGATTCATTGAGTGAAGTAAGTCTAGGTAGACTTATTGTTAGAGTAAGTAGATCTCTCCTTATATATATATAATGAACATTTTAACGATCTAATCGTTGAATTAAAAGTTCTAATTGCATAGATCAAGTTTGCAAAATTTTTAAAAATTTGACTATTTGATACTTTATTTCATTAATTTAAATCAATGTACAAATTTTTTTATATGATTGATGTAACATCCCAAATTTTATTCAATGAAAAGAAATATTTTTTTATGTATTTATTATGTGAATAAGTATTTTATTTATGTATTTTACTATTTACGTATACGTATTTTTACTATTTATGTATACGTATTTTACTATTTATGTATATGTATTTTACTATTT